ATAAAACTGATTAAATTCTAATAAAAATAAATAAAAAAATAAAAAAATGTAGAAAGAGTTAGAAAATACAAGACCGAACTAGTTGGATCGAGACTCCCGAGGATTCGAAGCCTGCCCGTATCAAGACTGACTGAGTTTACATTGTGCATCATCTTTGTTTCTCTTCAAGTTTTGACCAGGCCTTGTCTTGATTAAATGGCTTTCTTAACTTAAGAATTGCATGTTTAATGGCCTAATAAAGCTAAAGTTTTCTTAGATCTAGGTTTTCTCCAAATCTTTCTCCGGTTTTATCAAGGTCTAAGGAGTCTAAAAATCTTCCTCAGAAATGATCCTGAAATGATCTTTTACAGGCTGAAAATACGCTGGAGTGGGTAACTACCAATTTCAAATGGATTTCCAGCCCCAATTATTGTCTTGGGATCAACATACCAAACGAGTCCAGATTCAATGAATCTTCTCAGAAATGGTTGGGGAGTGGTTGGCATGGTACTCAGAATTGGCAGATTCTAGTTTTTGGATGATTTACAGGCTCTTGTGACGATGTTTATCAAAATTTGGGTCAAAACGATGTGTTTTGTTATTTTTATTTTTATTTTTTACTAAAACAAGGTGTTCTGCAGGATTCTGGATCACGGGGCAAGCAATATGGGCTATAGTGGTCTATGGTTTGAGGATTTACTAGGATAATGTGGTTGTAAAGTTGTTTAAGATTTAAAAAACCATTGAATTTGCCAATTTTCAAAATGAAATGAGGTGTTTACAAGACCATTTACTTTTGATATAAAGAGGTCACAATCACTCTTGTCTTAGAGATTTCAAATCAAGTGGTTGTGAGCATGTTATTGACTAAAAAAAAAATTCTCCAACTTCATGACTTTACTCCAAGCCATCAAATTTGACACCTAATAGCTATGAGTAATTGTGACCTCTTTATACGAAAAATAAACGGTCACATACTATACAATCCTTATTTTAATTTATATGTATTTATTTATTCTTTGATATTTTTTGGATATTATGTCAAACACATTCAAATCACTCTAGTTATGATATGGATCTAGTCCCCAATCCAAACTTTAAAATACTATTTGGATGAAAGACGAGGGGTGGCAATGGACCCAAACCCGACCCAAGACCTGCTGGATATACCTGACACGGGTCGGGTGTGGTTCTAGCATTTGGACCCGGCAGGTCGGGTCTGGGTCCAAAACTTGGACCCAAACACTATATGGGTCCGGATCTCGACCCGTACCCAACCCATACCTATAAACTGTTAGAGATAAAATATTTTACTTTAAGCCCTATTCATTTTGGTATATTAAGAATCATATATAATTAGAACTAATAGTCATCTTTAGTTATTAAATAACAAATCACAAGACTTGAATTCTAATAGTGGTGATTGTGACCTTCTTGTCAATAATACAAGTATATGGTGGTAAAGAAATAGGTTAAAAAAAAAAAAACTGATCATGAGGTTGACAATGGATCTGAGACCCGACAGGTATAAGTATGATCCATTTTTTAGACTCAACATATCGGGTTCAAATCCAAAACTTAGACCTGAATCTATCCAGGTTTAAGTCAGGGTCTGGGTCCGGGTCCGGGTCCGAGTTTGAGTCCAAGTCCCCCGGAGCCGCACCCACAACCAAACCGTTGCGACCCCTATGAAAGATAGGTTTATAGAATGACAAGCGTACGAATTTTAGAGAGAGAGAGCAAAACAGTCTCAAATCGTTAGAGAGAGAAAGAATCACGTTGGACAGACTTCTGGCTAATGAAAGAGGGGGTCAGCTTAGTACACTAAGGAAAGAGAGAAATTCAGAGACACTTCTAATCCACCTAAATTTCCAGCACCACTACCCAAAACCGTACATGATTTCTCTTCTTTCTCTCTCAAGAACACCACCCCATTCCCTCTCTAAAATGGTACCTAACTTTCTCTCTCTAGAGGACTCCCTGCCATCTGCTGCCCCTGCCAACCAGGAAGCAGCAACACACCTAGGTTTATTGGCACGCTATTTGAGGTGCAACTCCTCTTCAATGTCTGGACGACCAAATCCAAGCCAACGCTCCAGATTCAACGATGTAAAAGACACATGATAGAAATGGATCTGAACCGTCCAAAATACAGTCGAGGAGGCTCACCTGCATCCAAAGGTCAAAAGGACAGAGCGACGTTTAAAGACCTGGATCCCCAAAAACTGGTCCGGAGATGTAATTTTGCTATTAAAATTTTTTAAGGTGGTGTATGAATTTATTTTTATATTTAAATAATAAATTTTAAATTCTAAAAATAGTTCAAATCAAGTATATTACTGCATGAAAATGTTATAAATTGACAGTCTAGATAATGCGTTGCATAATATACTCTATTTGAGACCTGAAATCTCCCTTTTTCTTTTTTTTTCATATCTATACATCTTGATGTTGAGATGATTAATTAGATGTTTTTCCAATTGAAAAAGTTTATATAGAGCCGAGGCTCTAATTTGATGCCCAAATATCCTCAAATTGATATCTCAACATCAAGATGCACGGACATGAGAAAAAAATGGATTTCAAGTTTTGGAAGTAGTGTATTTTGTAACACATTTTTTTACTGTCAATTTTCAAGTTTGTATAAAGCTGTCGATCTACACTATTTTTGAAGCTTTAAAGGATATAAATAAATATAAAAATATATTTTAAGGCTATCACAAAGATTTTCAGTATTGAAACCACATTTGTAGACATTATTTGAAGGTAGGTTTTAATTTGATTGTTTAGAGCTTGGACTCGATACAAACCACACCCTTTTCCAACATCAAAACAAACTTTTTCCAAATAATTATGATGTAACTTAATTTTGCATTTTAAGTGTCAACCTTGTACAAACGATTCCATTAAATTCCCCCACAAAAAAGATGATTGAAACTAACACCTAAAAAATGAGGTACAATGAAATGAATCCAAAAATATTGCTAAATATATTCATTTGAACTTAAAATTTAATCATACTTTTTATCATTATCATCATCATAGTATTTTTTCAATTAATTGAAGTTGGCCATAAGAATCTTGATTCACCATTATACTATATTTAAGGTCATATCCTCAGTGAGGTCATACATTCTCATGTCTTTTTAGACTATTTCCAACCACGTCATTTTGGGCATACCTCTTGCCATTTTCAATACTTTCACCTGAACTCTCACATTTCCTAACAGGTGTTGTACTGAGTCGATACCACACATAGCCAATCTACCTAAATCTACTCTCTCTCATCTTATCGCCTATTGGTGCCACGCCTAAACTTTCCCACGCCTAAACTTTCCCGAATGTATTCATTTCGAATTCTATCCCTTCTTGTCGTGCCACTCATCTATCTCAACATCATACACTCATTTCATAGGTTCTTTTTTTTTTTCCATCCAACATTCTGCCCCATAAAACAAAGCCAGTCTCACAACTGTCCTATAGAACTTACCTTTTAGCTTCAGTGGTATGGAGGGATTGAAGAGTATGTATAAAATCACATACACTTCATCTAAAAAATTAATCTCAATAAATAAAGTTTTGAATAAGCCTTGATAAATACTTTGAAAATGATAAATATGGATCATCCATTAGATCGGACCGACGTTTTGAAAACCCTTATCAGATCTTGGAATGCGCCCTCCCCCCCATTCCCAGGATTGTATCGATCTGGATTGGTGATTCCACTATCTGGACAGATTCCTAAATATCAAACACGCTAAAAATCAAAAGACCATATAAATCAAGAATAATCCGATTAAAAGCCGGATCGCAACTCTACAAACAAATTACAGCCGACTGTCACAAAGTAAAACTGATTCCTCCTCCACAATAGAACCAAGTCGGTCACCTCCTTAGTATCATCTAAGAAATCAATCCCAATCCAGGTCGATAATTTTTCAAGCACTAAGCCGGACAAGGAAATGGCAGACTCCGTGATGGATCTAAAATTAGCTTTCAATAAGGGCACTAAAATTTGAAACACAATAAATGGCAAGATCTATGAACATTTATTTCTAGGGTGAAACACAATAATTTGTTCAAATATATCCTATTTTTAGAGTTTTAAGTCGTAATATTTTTTAACAACTATAATGTTCAAGAAGAGAGAACCGATGTAGAGGCTTACCAAGGCTTGAATTGCAATTTTTTGAAGTTATTTTAATGAACAATTGTTTCATGCGGTCAGGAAATCATTTCTACAACATGAGGCGTAAAGGTATAAAGCATCCATTTTAAAGATGACGCAAATAGATGGCCCATTTTAAAGCAATTATTACCATCGGTTTTCTTAATAAAAAGTATTATTAATTTTTACATATTCATGATCTCCATAATAAATATTATATATTTCCAAAAAAATTAAAATCAAATTACAATTAAAAAATATAATTATTGCCAAGCCCGCTCACTAGAATATACAGGCTGGCCAGCATGTTAACCACGTCCAATTATAGTAACGCTGCAGCCCGATCTAACCATACACCTTTAACAAAAGAAAAGGTTTTACACAACATTGCAGCCTTATTCTACAGAAATAGGTTACTGTCTAAATCCAATAAACGATGGAAAGAGTATTTGGAGTTTGAAAACCATCCAAGTGATTATTTAGACCATAAGATTTAAATATACAATAAAAAGAAAAACGAAATTCAAATAATAAAAAAATAGTGTATCTTATATTTGTTGTATCAAATGACAAAAAATAGCGATATCTTATAATTTGCTGTATGAACAGTCTATTTACTAGATTTAAATTTCTTAATTGCAGTTTGAGCATTAATTTTTGAGCAGCTTCGAACGAACACAAAGGTGGAAATTTCGAGGTGCACCATACTTGCATAGCATAGGGCCGAACCTACTACGAACCTCACCCTCAACACAAAAAAAAAAATACTTGATCCACAAGTCAGAAATGGAACGATCGAGATTCTTTTGTACCATCCCTCAATGTCATCAAAATTCATCATATGAAAAGATACTTCAAATTTCAAAACAGTGAGATTTTTCTTCCCATTTAGAAAACTACCCAAAAAAAACCTATAACAAAGTGTGTTTCTGTCTCATACTCTCTCTCTCTCTCTCTCTTTAAAGACCTTCTCAGTCGTTCCACAGGGCAAACATAGGTAACTGATGCTGATGGAACACAGGAAAGCTTGGCCTGTTAGACCCCATCCACCCAATATTGCCTCCAACATTGTTGCCTGAAATATTTGAACCCTCATACTTAGCATATTTTCCACCAAATTCGGGAGAGAGAAAGAGAGCCTGAGAATAATCTCCTCCACCGCCATCCTGAACTTGTCTGACGCCGTTATAAATCGTCATTTTACGGCAATTTGGATCGTTTTCGCAATGAGTTGAGGAATGATTTGGACTCTCAGGGTTAGAGCTCGGATTGCTAAGAGAAGAGACCAATGAATTGTTTGTGTTGCCGCTGAGATCAGTTAGCAAACGGGCGGCTTCTTCTACCTGTGGGAAAATCGCAGACTCTTTGTTGGCATCTGCATTAGTCGGGTCGCCAGGAAACTCACTGGATATTGAAGGTTGGCCGGGATCTTTGCCGGATTTTTTTGCGAGATCGCCACCTATCAGCGTTGTGCTTGAGCATATTCTCTTGACGTCGTATTTGCTAATGTCAAAATTTGTAACGGCAGAGACACCTCGGAACTTGATGGCCGCGATATCATAGGCCTCAGCTGCCTCCTCTTGCGTACCTAAAGAGAAAAATTGAGAGAGGCTTTAAAAAGAGAGATAGTCTAGTCCGATCAAGGTTTTCGACCCGGATCTGAACCGACTCATACCCGTACCCATCAGGTCTACTTGTCAACAGAGGTTTTCACTTTGAGATGGGCAACAGGTTGGGTCCGGCCGAACCCGGACCTAGACGTAAACCCGAAAAGTATTCTGATTCAGGTTTTGGACCCATATCAGGTCTAGTTTTTAAGAGAGGTTTTCACTTTGAGATGGGCAGGTAGGTTAGAGAGCAGGGGTGGCAACAGGTCGGGTGACCCGGACCTAGACACACCCAAAAAGTATTTTGATTAAGGTTTTGAACCCGGATCTGAACCGTCAGGTCCAAAAATTGAACCCATACCGGTACCTATCAAGTCCCAGGTTTATCACGTCAGGTCAGGGTCTAGTTGGGTCCAATGTCATTCTTTTTTTACTTTTTTTTTTTTTGTCTTTTTTTATATTACGATACACTCATGTCATTGGCAACAACACCACAATCAGTGGCCAATAGATTTCAAAATTTGTCATTCAATAGCTAAAGAAAAATGCTTCAATAAGGCTTGAAGTGTTTTATCTCCAATAATTTATATGTACGGGTCGAGTCCAATCAGACCTCAAACCCAGACCGAGACCGAGACCGAAATAGGGTCCAGGTTCAAAAGTATTCATATCTAAGTTTTGAACCCAGACCCGACTTATTAGGTCCAAATATTGGACCCATACTTGGACTATATGGGGTCCAGGACTATTCCGACCCCGACTAGAGAGAGATAATTGGTCCAGGTCTATTGCCACCCCGACTAGAGAGAGATAATTGGACCATATGGGGGGTCCAGGTCTATTGCCACCCCTACTAGAGAGAGATAATTACTGAGAAAGCGGGGTGAGAGAGAGACTTACTGAAGGTACCAAGATAGAGGTCTTTGTTACCGGCAACTCTGCCGATGCGAGCTTGCCATCGTCCGTGTTGATGATGCCTGCGCAGTTCAACAAACAGTAAAAACAGAGACGAGTGAGATAAAGAGAGTTTACGTGGGCGTGCGTCATAGAGAGATAAAAGGCCTACGTTTTGGCTTTCATGCGCGTACTTCAATTCTCTAGAGAGAGAAAGAAGAGAGGGAGAATCCATTGTAGGAAATTATGAGACAGTGAAAATTTGGAAACGTAGAGAGAAACGATCGGAGGGGGGGAGGGCCACACTTTGGAAAAACTGGACAGGCTGTAAACAATATGCATGAGAGAGATGGAATTCTAGAGAGAGAATGCCGCGAAAGATTAGGGTGACGTAGAGAGAGAAATAGACAAAGATAATGTAGCGCAGAAAGAGCTGGGTAGAGAGAGAGAGCGGTAAAGAGTTAAAAAAAACTAAAGAGTAAATAAACAACGGGAGAAGGGATTGGGGCGAGACTACAGTATATTGAGAGAGAGAAAGGAAGTTAGAGAGAGAAAATGAGACAGAAATGAAATAGAGGGAGAGAGCAGTAAAGACATTATACATGGAGAGAGAGAATGTGAGGTAGAGAGAGAGGAAGGGGCTAGAGAGAGGTTATTTCGAGTAAGAAGGCTGTAAACCTTGTCACTCCACGGTACACAGATGCTCCTCTGGAAAAGCCGCTGCTCTTCCTGAACAAACCACAGGAGGAAAGATGAAAAAATTGGCCCTCGAATGCTTCCAAAACAATACAAGTGAAAGCAATAAATTTTGAATAAACAATGAATATCTCTCTAACTCAAACAATGAATCTCTCTCTAACTGCCAAAACCCCAGTTTCTCTCTTCTTGGGAGAGAGACGTACCTCCTTAAGTTGGCCACGAACTCCTGCCTCGTCATGTTCTTCATCTCCTCCAATTCCTTTTCGTAAGTGCTCAACTGTAGAGCAAAAGGACCAATGAATTAGAGAGACGACAGCAGATGCGTGGTGAGGAGAGAGAAAACTTATGAGATGAAAAAGACCAAGAGCAAGGAGCTAGAAGAGTGAAAAAACCCAACGGAGAGAAAACCAAGAGCGAGGAGAGAGAAGAGAAAAACCGAAGCAGAGAGATAAAAGAGAAGAAACCCAAGAGCGAGGAGAGAGAGAAACCCATGAAAGAAGAAGGAAAAAAAACCCAAGAGAGAGAAAAGAGTGTAAACAAGATCCTAGAGAGAAGAAAGAGTACATAACCAAGGAGACATAGAAACACCAAAAAACAATGACTTGGGGACAAAGGCTATAAATTCACAAGATATAGTGGTAAAAGAGCTTCAAATTCCAAATGGGAGGAGAGAGAGAGAGAGGTAGAGAGAGAATATCCGTGTGTTGGAGAGAGAAAACAGAGAAAATAGTACATAACCAAGGAGACGGAAACACCAAAAAACAATGACTTGGAGACAAAAGGCTATAAATTGACAGGATATAGTAGTAAAAGAGCCTCAAATTACATATCGGAGGAGAGAGAGAGAGAGGGGTAGAGAGAATGTATGTGTGTTAGAGAGAGAGGTACAGAGAATGAATGTGTGATAGAGAGAGAGAGTTCACGTACCGGGAAATTTATATGGGTGGAAGGACCCCAGTACTTGAGAGCTGCCAAATCATAGGCCTTAGCCGCCTTTTCTTCTTTGTCATATCCTCCTAATTTCATCAAAAACCATCAAAATCAGACTCAATGGAGATCCCAATAAAATCAACCAGCTATTGCAACCAATTCAAATTTAAAGTTGTGGAGAGAGAAAAGCCTGAGCTATATAGAGAGCTAGTGAGAAAAACAGGTTAGAGAGAGAGGAACAAGTTGTAGAGAGAGAAAAGATCAAGCTATCGACACCTAGAGAGAGAATGAACAGCTAATAATTGAAGTTGCAGAGAGAGGGATTTGAGCTATGGAGAGCTCGAGATAGGAAAGATGACGCAACCAATAGTAAAATGAAGCATCATTAAAGAGAAGAAAAGTGGGGAAAAGAATAAAAGATCCACAACATTTGAAGAGGCACAAAGGGAAGAGAGAGACTCACCAAGATACACTTCATTTCAGCATCACAGAGCGAGCAAGAAACAAAACACGAGAAACACAACATTAGTCTTAATGAACCATGAAAAAATGAAACAAGGGTGTGGTTTGTATAAAGCTGTGGCCCTAAACAATCAAAGTAAGACGCACTTTTAATTAGTCGATAGAAGTCCTTTTTAGAACCGACAATCTTTATGTAGGTCCAAAACTTCACTTTCATCTCTAATAAATTTAAAGCTTCAAAAGTAGCTTTGAACCGTAGTTCATGCAGATCCATCAAAACTTCAAAATCTTGAAAATTGAGGGTCATGCATGACAAGATGCACTATTCCCAAGACCTGATCTTTATTTTTTCTTATGTTTATGTATCTGAAAGTCCAAATTAACGGATTCGAGGGTTTTTGGGTTTCAAATCAACTTTTTCTAGTTGAATTTGAAAAAGTAGATTTTTTGAGGTGTGTCGTAATTTGATTGTTAAAAGCCTCGACCATATATAATTAAACCTGATTTTTTTTTTTTAACCTCGAATTTTGATTTTTTTTTTTTTTAAGCCTAGAATTTTGATTTTTTTTTTTTTTTTTTTTCATTAGTCCTCAACTTCCCTACTAATGGAAAAAAACAAAAAAAATCAAAATTTGGATTGACAGAAAGAAATTTCAACAAAAACAAATATAAAAAAAAGATCGGGTCGACTGAACTTGCAATGGTCGGTCAACCCGATCTTCTTTTATATTTACAAGTTCGATATTTGATACGGAGTATTTTATATTTTACCTAAAGTTTAGTAAATTACTCTAAACTTTTTCCATAAATCAATGAGGTATATTAGTCTTAATAGAAAATAAAATCGGGGCAGGTCGGTGGCCGACCGAACGAAATGGTGGGTTCGGAACTCGGATAGAACCATACAATCCTGTCTGATTAGGGCGATTCAGATTCGATTCAAATTGAATCGAATCTGAGTGTTTTTTGAGGAAAAGTTTCAAAGGGAATTTTCTCTTTCTAACCTTGTCTACCCTTCCTGGTCTGGCCTTCCTTTCTACAGCTATTGTCCCATAGATGAGCTTCGTATCTCCCGGTCCAACGATGCCTGTACCCAACAACAAAACACAATAAACAATCTGCACCTAACAGTACAATCAATAAACTAGAGAGAGAAGACGTTATAAAGGCAAGGTGTTTTAGAGTAAGAGAGACGCAGCCTGAGAGACATTGCAAGGGAAAGTGTTTTAATTAAGAGTGAGAGACGTAGAGAGAGAAGACTTTCGAAATCGATAACATTGTTTGCATAAAATAATAGACAACATTAGAAAGGAGAAAACTCTAGAGAGGGAGGAGAGGAACGACACCTGGTAACCCCACGATACTGTGAAGTCCTCTGACCAAAGGTCTCAATGGATTTCCTTGGAACTGGCTCTTTAGTGAGAGCTTTTCCATGGCCCCGCTTCCTTGCATTATCAGAGGGAACACAAACTATGGCAGCAGATTGAGGCAAACTCACTGAGGTAGACTGAGAACCAGAGCTCATAGAGAGAGAAAGCGCCTGAAAATCTCCATTTGAGGCCACAATTTGGCCCGCTTTCTCGGAACCATCATGCACCAATCTCTTATCACTTGGTGCGATTGGGTTTTGCCTCAGCCATGACTTCAAACCGGAGATTCCCGGCCCCGAACCAATTGCGTGGCTCATGGAGCCCGCATTTTCTAAGGCCATGTTATAAAGATGTGGGTTTTGGAGATGGCTCGGAATAAAGGTTTCCGGCTGATCGAAACGACGGATCAATGATGAAGTTAGGGCCTGCGCCTCCTCGCTTTCTCTCTCTCTAGAACTGGTGCTGCTCTGGAGAAAGCTCGGGATATTTACATTGATGCCAGCCGTAGACGGGTGATCGCGGTCGAAATCCAACGCCTGATGGTGGCCGCGCTGATAGTAGACGGGATCAAATGGCGGGGGGTGCGCAGTGGCGCCAAGGAAATCTTCGAGCTTCGGATTTTCTCTCTCTACATTGTTGTTGGTGAATTCGGAGGTGGATATGAGGCGTGAGGATTGAAGGCCCGGAGCTTGATGGGTTCGTGATAAATCCATGTGTTTCAGCCTCCAATCTTCACACACACAGGACCAAATTCAAGGAGAGTAAGAGAGAGAGAGAGAGAAGAATGCCTATAGCTCAACTAGAGAGAGAAACCCCAAGAAGACAATGAAAACAATGATGAGAATAAGATAGAAACAATAAAAGAGTGGAGAGATCGAAATTTAATGATTCACACAAAAGGACTAGCAAAAACAGAAATAGAGAGAGAGAGAGAGAACCAAGTAAAATGATCAAATGCAACTGGAAAACTGTAAAAAGTGCTCGAGAAATAGAAAGAGAAGCACGGAAATAACCATTAATCTGTTTATACAAATCCCCAATAGTTTCTCTTTTAATTTTCAACCCATTCATGAGGGAGAAACGCTATAAGAATAAAATATATAAAAGATTTATTATGAGGAGTGAAACTTATTAAGTTCACTAATCCAACCCATGAAGACTGACATAGAAAATTTGGAAAAAAAAATAAAACTGAGAAATTACATCTCAATTAAACTGAATCGATAGACACTCTTACGGATAATACCCCCAAGAACAAATGAGAAAAGGCAAATTTTTCTCTCTCATCGGAGCATATAGCAAAAAAACAAAGGCTAGAGTATGAAACCTCCGCTAGATATACCCAGAAACAATTGCCTCTCTCTCTCTCTCTCTCTCTCTCTCTCTCTCTCTC